GAAAAAAATCAATTACAAACACCCCCAATGCTTGTAATCGATACAAATCTTCAAAAAAAATTTCCTGATGATTCTGATAAATATCTAAAAATATTACCAATACAAAAATTGGCCTAATGCGCAAAGCATAGCAGGAATACAAGATTTGGCCTTTCTAATCATATTTTGTATCTAATTAATAATTAAACATATTAAACAAAAATTTTATTGCATTATTATTTAATTAAAATTTAATTATAGCTGTTTTTATAAATTCTAGAATACCAAAAAATTTTCTTGTTTTCTAGAATCTTTTTTGTTTCATCCAGTAAATTATCTAGCTCTCTAAAAACTACATTACTATTTTCAAACCTTTAGTCTAAAGACAGTGATATATTTTCCAGAGAGTTAAGTGATTTATTGGATGAAATAGAAAAGATTCTGGAAAACAAAAAAATTTTTAGATATTTCAGAATTTATAAAAACAGCTATAAAAAAAAAAAAAAAACAATGTCATACCTTGCTAAGGCGTAAGATAATATGCTATTAGTTACCATAGCTACTATATTTAGATTTTGTACTTTTGCATGTTTTAAAAAAGCACGAATTGTGTTTAATATATTGTCTGTTTTTTGACGAGTGCCACTTATGTCTTTAGCACCCCATATATATAATTTGTTTGTTGCTAAAAGAACAACAGCACCTAAAATTTCTTGGTGGCACATATTTTCCACCTGTCAAATATAATAGTAACTGGTTTCTGTATTTCTAAAAGAGCAAAGACTTGAGAACTTTCTAATTTTTCAGTATAATCTTTAAGAATTTTTTTGCTCAATGTTCGATGACTTGGGATCTTAATAGTGGTATTAAAAAAAAGTGACAAACTTGTAAAAAGCTCTGGTTCCAGTAAACCAGAATAAGAGACTATTTTCAACTATCATATGAAGAAGTTGACAATGAAATTTATTCTGCTCAGTAGGTAATAACTGATAAGGATAGATTTGTTTGTTTAGTTTGTATTCATTTCATATTATATGATACTAATATTAGTTCTGATGCATCTGAAATTCTAGCACTGGAACCTGAAAAAACAACAGATATAGCTAATATATTATTTTGAGCTCTTGCTTGTCTTAATGGCATAACTAGATTTTGTGCTGTTGTTTTATCAGAATCTGGATACATCATTATTTCTTGGTTTTCTTTAACCCAAACCTTATACCAATAAGAACACTTTTTTTAATACTATTGTATGCAATCCCATCTATTAAAAAATCACCATTTTTCATAAACTTGCTATAATACAAGACCTTCATTTCTTCCTTTTTGAAATAAACCTTTTTTGCTTTCACAGGCTTTATATATAGCCCATTTAGCTTTTTGTATTGGGCCCAAATCAGTTTGTACATGGATGTATTTTGTTAATCTATGAATATAAGTTTGAGGCATATTTGAAATTTAATTATAATATAAAAATTATTAAATGATTATTTATATAATGATGATTCATGTATAATTATTATAATGTGCCCTATATTTTAGACCCAATCCTTAATAAAGAGATAACGAATCACATGGCCAAAAGGGTAGCCACGATTTTACAGTTTCGGAGCATATTACTATATACAACATCAACAAAAATAAAATGAAATATAACAGGAATACTGGCATAGGAAGATTGAATACAAATAAAGAATAATGCTCATCAATACATGTTATAACAGAAATGTTGAGGAGCCAGAAGAAAGCAAGTATGCATGTATATACATATGCAATTCTGCTATTTTCTCATTTCTTTGTTTATAGCCACCTTGCTTGACAGATGAGTAATGACTATTAGTAAAATATTGAGTAATTAAAGAAACCAGAAAAAAGCAAATGCATGTGCGCATATATACATGGCCATTTTTTTCATTTTTTTCTCATAGCTGCCTTGTTTTTTTTTTGCTAGTTTTTTGTTTACAGCCATCTTGCTTAATATATGAGTAGTGAAATATTGTTAACAATTGAAGGGGCCAGAAGAAAGCAAGTACATGTGTATATATATACATAGCCGTTTTTTTTATTTCTCTTTTCACAGCCAGCTGCCTTGCTTTTACAAGTAAGGGATAACCACTAGTTAATCCTAAAATGATTCTTAGTGCAATCATGATTGTTAGTGCTATAGAATATTGCTATCATTCTGACTAAATTGGTTAATATCCAGTTTAAATCATAATCTCTAATTCAAATTATTTGCCAATAAATAATTAGATGAGAACATATAAAATATTCTAGTAAATTTGGCATATACCAACTTTAGAGAACTGGCAGTTCAAAAAAAGTACTTATATATATATATCATGTATGCAAATGCTTTTTATAGCATTTTTTCTGACAGTAATATGTATTTAATATATACAAATATTGCAATATTTGTATAACTTGACCAATTTGACCAATTTGACTACAGTCAAATTGGTCTGATTAATGATCAGTAGTATTCATAAGACCCTAGCATTACCACTCTAAAAAAATTTTGCTATCGTTAAGGTTGGGGTTTGGAGTATTTTTGGTTTGATTTTATGTTACATCTGGTCTTTAATTTTAATTCAGGCTGATAGCAAAATTTTTTAAAGTGGTTTAGCATTCACGATATTTGTGTAACTTGACCAATTTGGCCAATTTGACCATGGTAAAATTGGTAAAATTGGTCTGATTAATGATCAGTAGCATTTACGATATTTGTGTAACTTGACCAATTTGACCAATTTGACCACAGTCAAATTGGTCAAATTGGTCAGATTGATAATCAGTAGCATTTACAATATTCATATAACTTGACCAATTTGACTAATTTGACCAATTTAACTGTGGTCAAATTGGTCAAATTGGTCAAATTGAATTAATAATAGTTAAACTTTATAAATACTACAAATTGCCAACCTCTTCTAGTAAACCCAGTCTGTTACTTGGATTTAGTGAAAGGTAAAAAGTATAAGACTTGGGTCTATTATGTAGTCATGTATTATACTTATATTATATACCTGTTTTAGAGTTTCTTTAACAACACAACAGACCCCTTATAGTAGACCCTTCTCTGTATAGCAGACCTGGTCTGGATCAATTTTTACACAGATTTAAAGTAACAGGCCCAGGGCTTATGTGGCAATTTATAGTAAGTATTTGACCATAGTCAAATTAGTCTAATTGATAATTAGTAGTTAAAAAAATTTTTTTTATACTATTTTAAGAAGAGTGCTAACTTAAATAAAGCTATTGCATTATATAGCTATGTAAAAAAATTTTAAACAGTAAATTAATAATTAAAACAAGCAAATTATTATACAAACTCTTTCTGACAATCATTTGGACCATAATTTCTAAAAAACTTTTTACTAGAAAAAAAAACAATATATTAGAGTAAAGTCAACAACTTGTATGTAAAACATTAGAAAAGAGACTATAAGTCAGCAGCTGTTATTTAAAGGTAGTTTTCATATGCTACCTGCTAACAGCCTTAGAGTTTATTACTCACTGACTGCAGGTATGGCACTTGTCATTTAGAAGTAGTTCTCATATGCTACTTGCTAACAAGTTTAGAATTTATCATTTACCAAAAAGACTTAGTACTATGCAGGCTTTAGTGAATAGTTTGATTTTAGTAAAAGAAAACTTACACTCTTTTAGTGATTTAAGTATTTTTTCTCTCTCTTGCATTTTGCCAATCTTACCAAAAATTTCAACAAAAAGTGGGCATTTCAGCTTACTCTCTTCAAAAGATCGGTATTATTTACACTTATCTAATTCAGACAAACTCAGTAGAATGCAACCACATATTTGTTTTGTTTATCATTACAGTGCTACAGTATAGGAATGAGATCGATAACCCCATTTAGAAGATATCCAACTCTGGTAATGTGTCTGGAATGAGTCTCAATGTTAAAGTGAAGCTTTACAGTTGAAATATATTAATTAGTTGCAATTAGTATATAATTTTATTTTTATATCTGGCACAGGTTATAATAGTGTATTTTGTTTGTTTTTTTTGTTTCTTTTGATGTTTTTTTTTAAGATGGTTCATCAGGACTCCTATGTCTTTTTTTCTGCTCTTTTCATCTTTGTCTTATTATAATAGAACTATATTTAGGACTCTTTTTTTTTTTAGTTAAATGTTTTTTTTTTCTTTTTTTTGTTTTTTTCTTTCTTTTTCTAGATAGTTTTGTTTTTTTTCATAGATGTGGTATATTTTTTTTTCCTTTACAGAAAAGTAAGAGATAAACTATTCTGCCTGAATCTAGAAAGAAAAGTTTAGAAGGAAGGATAGATAGTTTTGACAAGCTAGTGGAACCTTTTAGTGAAAATCTATTCTTTTCAAGTGCAGAAGAGAATATTTTGGAGAAGAATCTGCCTATAGCAGGTCACATATAAGTAATTTGAACTCTGTTTACAAAGAGCCAAGTGAGCTAATACTTGTAATTTAGGTGGTGTTAGGGTTTATATTCTATATAAATTTTAATATTTCAGAGTATAATATTATAAAGCCTAATAAAGTAAAGGCAAGACTGCCAAATTTAAAAAAAAAATAAAAATAAAAATAATTAAAACAAGCTAAAACTTGCTATAAATTCTAGTTAAATTGGTTTTAAAAAAAATTTTTTTTATCTTTTAAAAAGAGTGCTACATACTTGCTGCATAAACTACCTCTTTATCAAAAACCTCTTCTAGTAGACTCAGTTCTGTTACTTGGATTCAGTGAAAAGTAAAAAGTATAAAACCCAGATCTCTTATGTGGTTATATATTATACTTGTATTATATACCTGTTTTAAAGTTTCTTTAACTACATAACAGGACCCTCTCATAGTAGACCCTCCTCCATATAGCAGACTCTCGAGCCTGGATCAATTTTTACACAGGTTTAAAGTAATAGACTTAGGGTTTATGCAGCAATTTATGATAAGTATAACTTGACTAATTTGATCAGTTTAACTATAATCAAATTGGTCTGATTGATGATCAGTAGTTAAAAAATTTTTTTTTTATTATTTTAAGAAAAGTGTTAACTTAAATAAAGCTATTGTATTATGTAGCTATAAAAAAAATTTTAACTAGTAAATTAATAATTAAAACAAGATAAAACCTGCTATAAATTTTAGTTAAATTGGGTTAAAAAATTTTTTTTTTATCTTTTATAAAGAGCACTATATACTTGTCATGTTGAATAACAAAAATCTAGCCAGATCTATAACTAATGATCATTCACTTATTTATTAAGAACAATATTAATAACAAATATATTAAGCAAGACTTTATTTCTTGAATATTTGTGAGTAAAAGAATTGTATTTTGCTTCATATTCCTTATTTATACTCTATATACTATACAATTATATTGTATAATTATCGCTATAATAATGATGTTTTACTAATTATATAATTTATTTAACTTTATTATAGTTCCTACTACACATAGTTACTTTAACTTTGATTGTTGCTTTTGCTTTGGGTTACCATTACTTATGTGACAGTACTATTTAGTTCAGAATTTAAGTACCATTACTATTACTGTATTGTGCTTATTCAACTATATATAAAAAAAAAGTTTCAACAGTAATATATGACTTACAACAATTAAATCAAATTTAAATAATAAATGATATAACTTAACCGATTTGACTAGTTTGACTGATTCGACTGTGACCAAATTAGTCTGATTGATGATCAAGCTATATCTAATGCATTCACAATGATTGTATAACTTGATCATGGTCAAATTGGTCAAATTGGTCTGATTAGTTAAAAAATTTTTTTTAAATAAAGTGCATACAGTATATTGTGAGAATTCAAGCTCTGCTATTATATATTGCATTATTTTAACTATGTAAAAAAATTTTAAACAGTAATATATGATTTGGTTTTTTATTTTTTGACTGATTTAACCATAGTCAAATTGGTCTGATTAATTATCAGTAGCTAAAACTTATAAATAAGTGTAACTTAACCAGATTAACATGGCCAAATTGGTTAAATTGGTCTGATTAATCAATAGTTAAAAAAAAAATTTTTTTTTTACTATTTTAAGAAGAGTACTAACTTAATAAAGCACATATACTGAGAATTTGAATCATCTTATTTATATCCAATTATCTAAATAATTCAAAATCGCACAGATATTCGACATGTATTTGGATAATTATAGTAAATAGATAATAGTAAATGAATATCTAAATAAATTTAAATTCAAATATCTGATAGTTATCTGAATAAATACTTAATGGATTAGAACTCTATTTCAAACAATAATATATGATTAATAATTATAAAGCAAGATAAAAACTTGATATAAATTCTAGTTAAATTAGATTAACAATTTTTTTTTACTACCTTAAAAAGAATGCTAACTTAAATAAATTTAGTTTAAAATTTGAACTGTACCATTATTATTACTGCATTGTGTTTATTCAACTATA